CACTCAGCATGCTCCTCTGACCGTCAATGGTGTGACTGTGGAGAGGGTGAGCAGCACCAAGTTCCTGGGTGTGCACATCACAGAGGATCTCTCCTGGACTGACAACACCGCAGCACTGGCCAAGAAAGCAAAGCAGCGTCTCTACTTCCTCCGCAAACTGAAAAGAGCCAGAGCCCCGGCCCCCATCATGTGCACCTTCTACAGAGGCACCATCGAGAGCATACTGACGAGCTGCATCACTGTGTGGTATGGCGCCTGCAAAGCATCCTGCCGCAAGTCACTTCAACGCATAGTGAGAGCAGCTGAGAAGATCGTTGGTGTCTCTCTCCCTTCCCTCCAGGACATTTACGGAACCCGTCTCACCCGCAAAGCCCTCTGCATTGCAGGTGATCCCACCTACCCGACACACAGCTTCTTCAGTCTGCTGCCATCAGGGAGGAGACTGCGGAGTCTCCAGGCCAGGACCAGCAGACTGAAGGACAGCTTCATCCATCAGGCTGTCAGGCAGCTGAACTCCCTCCCGACCTTGCCCCCCCTCCCCTCTTTTGCCCCAGGCACCACTGAACTCTGAACCCCCCCCCTCTCACCAGTCACCTTGTGCAGCATTGGTTTGCTCACTACCTCATTCAGCATTCAACTGACCTCATTCAACTACCTCTTCAGTCAGTTTAAATAAAAAGCTCAGAGAGCAGTTCTTTGTCACTTTAATCAGACTGAATAAGCTCTTTTGCACTACAATAATTTTATCTGCACTGTTTGTTTACTACACTGGTTTGCACTCTATCTGCCATGTGCCTTGTGCTGCTTTATTTAACTTTTGTCCTTATTGTATATTTGTATTTATATTTAATCTGTATCTATCTGTATTTTTATGCTCTACTGTTAGTGTTATCTGTATGCACCAAGGGTCTGAGAATAACGCAATTTCAATTCTCTGTATGTATGTGATGTACATGTGGAAGAATTGACAATAAAGCAGACTTCGACTTCGACTTTGAAATAATTCAAATATATACAAAAACGTATTTAAAAAAAAAGCTTAAAGTAAGGAGAATATTTTATGGTCTGAGTTTCAGTAGTGTAAAAACCCTGCTGTAAAGACAGATCAGTGATGCCTGTACCTGGACAAAGACGCGTTTGGGTCGTGGGCTGGACAGCTCGGCAGAAAACGGGAAGAACAAACCACAGCTGACCAGAACAAACATCAGCGTGAACACTGACCCCAGAACAGCCAAGACCCGCTTCGTACTGTGGGACAGATAGATGAAATGAATCTGGAGAGAGGGACAGACAGAAAATAAGTGGAATAAGATGATTTAATCCAGTGATCGGCAACCTTTTGGGCATGAAGTGCTATTTTTCTGGTTAACCGCTGTGCCAATACCCCCCCCCTTTTTTTTTCTCAAATGCATACTGTATTTATACAATACATAAACATAAATTATCAGCTAAAATATGATCAGATACAAATCTATAGTTGATTATCATAAAACTTGTTTCTGAACCATTTAAAAAAATGCATATTTATTTTAATGTTTAAACTTTGAATAGCAGATTTATGTGACCCTACTGAACACCACTGTATGTGTGTGTGAGACGAGGCCAATTGTGCATTAAAACCTTCAGTTTAATCACTGTTCAATATTTAATCAACATTCAGTTTAATCACTGTTCGATATTAATGTGTTGCTTTAATTGATACACACACACATAACTTGCACACACTCACACACACCGAGAGAGATCACACTGTGCACACACAGAAACATTCAGGAGCTCAGAAACTTTTCTGCCCCGTTATTGATATTGAACATGCATCTGTAGACTAGCGCAGTTAAATCTCATACTTTAATTGTATTTGTAGATCCTAACAGGCTGTGTCACTATGAGGAATTATTACCTCAAAATGTACGTCAGTATGCAGTTTTCCTTATTGCTTGTGTGCCAGTGATTATCCCTCTGTGTGAATAAGCTCTTTTGCACTACAATAATTTTATCTGCACTGTTTGTTTACTACACTGGTTTGCACTCTATCTGCCATGTGCCTTGTGCTGCTTTATTTAACTTTTGTCCTTATTGTATATTTGTATTTATATTTAATCTGTATCTATCTGTATTTTTATGCTCTACTGTTAGTGTTATCTGTATGCACCAAGGGTCTGAGAATAACGCAATTTCAATTCTCTGTATGTATGTGCTGTACATGTGGAAGAATTGACAATAAAGCAGACTTCGACTTCGACTTTGAAATAATTCAAATATATACAAAAACGTATTTAAAAAAAAAGCTTAAAGTAAGGAGAATATTTTATGGTCTGAGTTTCAGTAGTGTAAAAACCCTGCTGTAAAGACAGATCAGTGATGCCTGTACCTGGACAAAGACGCGTTTGGGTCGTGGGCTGGACAGCTCGGCAGAAAACGGGAAGAACAAACCACAGCTGACCAGAACAAACATCAGCGTGAACACTGACCCCAGAACAGCCAAGACCCGCTTCGTACTGTGGGACAGATAGATGAAATGAATCTGGAGAGAGGGACAGACAGAAAATAAGTGGAATAAGATGATTTAATCCAGTGATCGGCAACCTTTTGGGCATGAAGTGCTATTTTTCTGGTTAACCGCTGTGCCAATACCCCCCCCCTTTTTTTTTCTCAAATGCATACTGTATTTATACAATACATAAACATAAATTATCAGCTAAAATATGATCAGATACAAATCTATAGTTGATTATCATAAAACTTGTTTCTGAACCATTTAAAAAAATGCATATTTATTTTAATGTTTAAACTTTGAATAGCAGATTTATGTGACCCTACTGAACACCACTGTATGTGTGTGTGAGACGAGGCCAATTGTGCATTAAAACCTTCAGTTTAATCACTGTTCAATATTTAATCAACATTCAGTTTAATCACTGTTCGATATTAATGTGTTGCTTTAATTGATACACACACACATAACTTGCACACACTCACACACACCGAGAGAGATCACACTGTGCACACACAGAAACATTCAGGAGCTCAGAAACTTTTCTGCCCCGTTATTGATATTGAACATGCATCTGTAGACTAGCGCAGTTAAATCTCATACTTTAATTGTATTTGTAGATCCTAACAGGCTGTGTCACTATGAGGAATTATTACCTCAAAATGTACGTCAGTATGCAGTTTTCCTTATTGCTTGTGTGCCAGTGATTATCCCTCTGTGTGGCACTGTTGGCAAACTTGCGATAGGTTTCTAACCCCAATCTCTTGTTGTTTTGTTTTAAATTTGAACTTGAACTTGAATTTGAATGTTTGAATTTGAATGTTTAAATTTAAAAGTTTAAATTTTGAATGTTTGATTCTGAATGTTTGAATCTGACTGTTTGAATTTGAATTTACTATGTTGCAGTTAGTCTGTATGACTCACAAAATAGGAAGACAGAATTACGGTTGCCAGGGTAACAAGTGATGCCAGGATGATGTCGGGTGGGATTTTGTCTTTGCTGCGACCCTGAATGGGTGTAAAGACCTCAAAAACCACCCGGATGAGGGACATGATGTAGACATACGGCACAGCAAGACCCGTCAGGTACAGGATGGAGTACTGAAGAGATGCTCCTACAAACAAACACACACACTGAGACAGCACTAATGACCATCAACACAAACCATGTGGCACTAGTTCATGAACGACCTCAGTCCGACTGCAACGGACTGTTAGGACAGCAGAAAGGATCATTGGAGTGCACCTGCCCAGTCTTCAGGACTTGTACAACTCCAGAGTGAAGAAAGGGGCAGGTAACATCATCAAAGACCCCTCTCACCCTGGACACAATCTGTTTGCACTTCTCCCCTCAGGCAGACGATATACAGATCTCTGTGCACTAGAACATCTAGGCATAAAAAAAGATTTGTCCCCCCCATGCCATCTCCAGCTTAAACAGCTAACACATTAATCATTACCTGTGTTCTGTAATTAATTTCTGTAATTCATCCTCCATCTCTAATTACTGCCTCTATCTCAAGTATTATGTAAATACAAATGCATATCTCTTTATTAATACAGCTGTATGTAGAGTAAATAATGCACAAATCTGTACATAAATCTACTCTTCCAGATTCATACACATTGTTATTATTTATTGTTAAGTCTTACTATTTAAATGTCCCCAACAACAGGTTTACATGCATGCAAGGTCAAAAAACACTTTAATTTTCTTATAATATGCATTTAATTTTACCTTATATCTCAACAACTCTCAAATAATGCATTCGAAGATTCATCTTTCCAAACCCCTCCTTTGCATAAGGCTACTCTGCTCTGATTCAGGTCAGGTAGGTCAGGTAGATGGGAGTACTGATAAAAAAATGTTTGCATATTGCTCCATCCTTTATAATGACTCCAAGTAGTAAGAACAACAGATATTCTATATTAATCAACACATTTCTAGACAAAAGCTGATTAACAGAACCATAACGTGATTTAGCCACAGACCTAAAGTGTATACACAACACAAAACTCCCTATTTGCACGCTCAACAAAACATTACAGCAACAATTATTAATCATACATATGTCAGGATTCTTGACTGTTCTGTGTCGTGTTTTGCCCCTGTTTCTGTTCCTGCGTTTCATTATTTGGTCTTTCCTGTTTCCATTATGTTCTCTGATTAGTTCATTTGTTTCCAGCTGTGTTTAGTTAATTATCCTAATTTCCCTGTGTACTTAAGTCCTAGTCTGTGCAGTCTGTCTCTGTTGGGTCTATTCGTTATGTTCGTGTTTCCTGCCGTTTCCAGTGTAGATGTACCCCTGTTCTCCAAGGATTATTCCACGTCTCCTCGTTCTGCGCTCCTCCCAGCACAGATTGTGACAGATTATGACCCGACCAAATACAGTAACCTCTGTGTGTTTCCTCTCTGTTTTCTCGTTTTTCTCTCAGTGTTTTCTTTTGTTCCTGTTTTTGTTATGGATCCCTTCTTCTGCCCGGAATTCCTCCTCCTCCTGCTGGAACAGGGGGACAGATCTCTCGAGGACCATACAAGACTGTTCCGGCTGTTAGCTAGCCCCACCACCACCAGCTACCCGGATGACGCGCTCATTCTATGATGCGAGCTTGAACACCGCGAGCAAAGTGCCGTCATCCGAGGATGGTCCTCGAGAGGATTTCGGTGCCTTCGTGGAGTGGACTCTGGCGAGAAACGGATCGCCATCCTGCCCCGTGGATGATCTCATCAGATCCACTGCAGAGCCCAGCCCACCATCTCCCCGCGATGCGGAGCATTAGCCCGAGCCCACCGTTGATGGAGAGCCATTTCCCGCCGCGATCAGCGAGCCAGTGCAAAGCCGAGCGACTGAGCAAAGGATTGCCCCGGACGTAGAGCTGTATCCGTCAGACCAGGTGTGAGAGCCGGCTACAAAGCCCACCACGTGGGAGAAAGCCACGGACAGTGTAAGCGCGGAGAGGAGCTCTGCCCCCTGCACCACGGCTAAGGGTGAGCTGAGTATGGCATGGCGAAAGTGCCAAAACGAAGAAGAGAGGGCTCCAGTCCCCGAATCCAGTTCAGAGCGCCCTACAGTGCCCGCTCCTCGAAAGCGCCCTCCAGTGTCAGCTCCTCGTAAGCGCCCTCAAGTGTCCGCTCCTCCAGAGCGCCATCCTGTTCCCGTGTTCAGCCTAGAGGGGGCTTCCGATCCAGAGTTAAGCCCTGAATACCCGGAGACTCATAAATGCCCACCCGCTCCTGCCTCCTCCACCGCTGTCATCTGGCAGCCCCTCTGCTCGCCCTCAGCCCACCACTAAGGTGCGAGCTCCGCGGGTCTGCCATCCTTCAGCGTCGCCATGGAGAATCCCTCACCTCTGCCTCCAGCCTCCGAGGCCCGGTCCCTCCGGTTCCGCCTTTGTCTGGCATCAACCATCCAGCGCCTCTGGACTCCGCTCCTCCAGCTGCACCTCGTCGCTCCATCCTACCGGCTCCGTCAGGCTCCTTCATCCCTTCAGATCCTCCTCAGTCCACAGTCACTCCGGCTCCGCCGCGGATCTCCGGATCTCTGTCTCCACCTTGGTCGCCAGAGCCCTCGGCTCCACCCTGCCCCCCCAGCATCCCCCGGGCTCGTTGGCTCTCCGTCTCCGCCTCGGGCTCCTCCACCCCCTGCTCCGCCGCCTTTGGTCGGCCCCCTGGAGTCACCGGCCATTCCTCCTCCGTGGCTCCTCCCTCTGTCGGCTCCACCATGGGCCGTCATCATGGCTGTGGCCTGGGTCCCACCTGGCTCCTCCTGCTCCAAGCTCCTCCTGTCTCCTCCCTGGCTCTTCCCTCCGTCTGATTTGACCTGGCTCCTCCTGCCTCCTCCCTCCATCTGATCCACCCTGGCTCCTCCCTCCATCGTCACCTCCCTGGACTCTGGTCCCCCCCACGCCCCC